AAAAAAAAATCGATGAGCAGAGCTCGACTATACTGAAGGCATATGTGACGACATCAAGTTGGAAACGTTAACTTCAACATGACGAGCTTTGGTCGATAAAGATTTTCTCAGCATGAAGCACTATAATCCCATTTAGATATCTACTGTGAAGTTCATGCGATGACATTCAGTTGTCGTTAAAACAAAAATAAATCTTACACGATTGTAATGATTAACTGAAATGCTAGATAGCTTAGTATTCAAACACACAGCATTGTCAGTGAAAGCTATACGCCACGTTAGAGTCGAGCGTCTAAATCGCAGAGAACACCATTGATATAAGTAATTTTTTTAGTTCGCTTTGAGTTGATCTGYAATAGCGAACTAAGTGGTAGTATTTGCAAGTTTCGGCGGGAAGATTCGCATGACACTCAAAGAGCGAGAAACACACTAGAAATCATGCTAAAAATGATCTAAAATGGATCAGGGACGTTTCATAATTTGATCAAAGAATTAAACCTTGCGTGAAATCTTATAGTTGATAATAATTATATACAGCCGTAAGTTCGTAAGTTTTATAATTTTTCGATGCTTAAATCTGGCATCTATTTATGTCCAAGTATTTTAAGGCCTGTAAATGGCAGTGTTGCCTGGGTACTTAGTTTACYTGTAGCACTGAGCTTACATTGTGTATGCGTCCATTTGCTTGGGCCACTGTAATTGTACGTTATTATAGTTTTTTAGGCATGTAAATTGCAGTGTTTGCCTSGGTACTTCGTTTRCCTGTAGCACTGAGCTAACATTTTTTGTATAAATGTACACTTTTTATGTATTTCATTTGTTAATTTTTAATATCAAAACTTTGAAAATTGATGACAGTATGAAAACATGAGAGATTCYCGCTGTCGTGTTTTGGTGGTCACATGTCAGTAGCAGTAGTAGTTAGTGAGGCGGTGACCCTATRTAAGCTGTTGGCAGTCAATCCAACTACCAGCGCTTCGTGCGAACGATCATTTTCAGCAGCAAACGTCTGAACCTGGCCAAGATCAAATATGACCAGCAACGATTCAGCAATCTCACGCCACTGAATTGCCAAAAGAGGGAAACATAGGTCATTGAAATCATCAATGCCCTGGCTGGACGCAACGACAACCAAAAGAAGAATTTTGGACTCTTAACTGTTGCAGATCGCTGAAGAGAAAAAAAGTCATA